CATTTCCTGCGGGCAACGCTAGAGACACGGTTTACATTAAAATTTTTAGCATCGAAATTATCGAGAGAGAAATAGAGAGAAAGAGAAAGTGAGACAATGAGAGAAAGAGAAGGAGAACGAGAGAAGAGAAAGAGAGAGGGAGAGGGAGAGAGCGCGCACGAGAGAAAGAGAGAGAGAGAGAGAGAAAGAGAGAGAGAGAGAGAGAGAGAGCTATAGAGCGAGAGCGAGGGGAGAGAACGAGGGTGGGAGAGTGGGAGAGAGAGAGAGCGAGAACGAGGGAGGAGGAGGACGAGCTAGAGTGAGAGAGAAATACCAACTTGCACCAGACCTTACCATATTGTATTCGAAGGCGGCATCACGGAAGCGTTTATCCAGATTCCACGCTGTGCTCTGCACTACGCGCCACATCACGTAATTAGCTTTCACCCTATATATATCAATCAGACAAACACGAATGAGTGACAAGCGTTCGAATGAGTGGATAATATAACATGTTGTGAAGGGCGGCTACACGGGTAGAGCTACGCGTGTACACGGTAGTCTTATTAAATTGTCGTAAGAATATTTAGGCCAAACTCCGTGGAATTTTATTACTGTCTAGCAAAAAAAAGAAGAAAAGAAGAAAAGAACAATTATTATAGGTTTGGCGCGAAATGTCTAACGAAGGGGAATGGAGGCTAGTTAAATCTGAATTCTATGTAACCAAATATCTGAATATATCAGACGTATCAGTCAGATATATCAATCAGATATAATATACTGATCTATGATATCCCATCTATGATATAAGATATCATTGCACTCAATATCATTATTTAGTAGCGTAATCAGAAACGAATTGGAGAGAGCAGCGATCACGTGAACTTCTAAAAACTAACGAAAATATCTTATGTGCTATATGCCTTCTCATATGACATTAGACATCACTGCATTCAACATCTTATATCAGTAGCGTAACCAGAACAAGTAGTGAAACAACAGAAGCATCGTACTCGGCCGAAACGCCCTGGATCAGCATTTCATTGAAAGCCTTGAAGAACTCCGGTTGCTTTAATATGATCTTCTCCTGCGGTTCTAACTTCAAGTCGGCGGGCAGAGCGTGAGCCAGGTACGTGTCCCAGTCAATCTTAGTGATAGCATAACACACACAAACATCTTATATATATACATATATACATATATACCATGT